TGGTTTTGAGACTGTGTCTCTCTTTGTAGTTCAGGCTGGCCTTGAGCTCACTCTGTAGCCCAGGCTGGCCTCTCACTCACAATGATTCTCCTGCCTCAGCCTCCTGAGTGCTGGGATTCCAGGTGTGTGCTACCCTGCCTGGCTCAGATGCCCATCTTTGCATTGGGTCTTTGAATTTGAGAGGCCTGTGTGTTTTTTCAATTTTTTATATGTTCTAGATACAAGTCCTTTGTCTGAGGGACAACTCACTCAGAAAAATTAGGGAAACCACATCCTTTACAATAGCATCCAAATAAATGAAATACTTAAAAATAAATCTAATGAAGTAAAAGATTTATATGCTGAAAATTATAGTACTCTGAAAAAAGAGATGAAGTAGTTTATCAAAAAATGGAAAGGTATCTCTTCCTCATGGATAGGAAGAACCAACATAGTTAAAATGGCCATACTCCCAAAATTGTTACACAGATTCAGTGCGATCCCAATTAAAATACCATTAGCATACCCCACAGAACTAGAGAAAACATTCCTAAGATTCATTTGGAAGCAGAAGAGACCTAGGATAACAAAAGCAATCCTGGGCAACAAAGGCAAAGCAGGAGGCATCACAATCCTTGACTTAAATCATACTACAAAGCTCCTGTGATAAAATCAGCATGGTATTGGCAAAAAAGCAGACCTGAGGATCAGTGGAACAGATTAGAAGATGCAGATGCAACTGCGAACATTCTCAGCCATCTTATCTGACAAAGGGGCCAAACACATTCACTGGAAGAAAGATAGCATGTTTAATAAATGGTGCTGGAAAAACTGGCTTTCCACCTGGCAAAGACTAAAACTAGACCCATGTCTAACCATGCACTAAAGTAAAATCAAAATGGATCAAACAACTAAATATCTCCGGTACCGGGAACCAAACTCTCAGCCTTGCGCTTCCCAGGCAGGTGCTTTTGCTGCTGAGCTAAATCCCCAGTCCAAAGAACTAAATATTAAAACACTAAATCTACTGGAAGAGAAAGTAGGTAGAAACCCTGAAGACATAGGAGTAGGCAAAGCCAAGATCACATGGGGAAGCGCTACAAAGAATAAATGAGATATCACCTTACTAAAAAGCTCTTGTACAACAAAAGAAATCACAGAGGCAAAAGACACCCACAGAGTGGCAAAACTCATAGCTAGTTTTTCTGTTTTTTGAGACTGTCTCCCCAGGCATTTCAGGCTTGTCCTTGAACTCACCATGCAGCCCAGGGTGGCCTGGAACTCACCCGCCTTAGCTTCTCGAGTGCTGGGCCATGCACTCGCCACCAGCAGGCACGGATGACAGAGGGCTGCGGCTGGTGGGTTTCTCCAGGGGGACAGAGGGGTGCAGCAGGGAGCCCCGCCCATTTCTGTCCTGTCGCCTCGGGTGGTAGTGAGCTCTTTGCTGTCACCTCTCCACACAAGGCTGGGCCTGAGTTCCCCTGTGCCCAGCGCATGCTTTGCTCTTGTTAATCAGTGCAGGTGCTGTTGCTTTGTGTCATCCTGCAACCCAGACCGAGTCCAGGGACTGCACTACTACAGGGGCTGGGAGGTCAGGATCTGGTGCCGGAGCCTCCAGGGGAGCTCTTCTCTACACTTACAGCTGTGAAATGGACAGCAGCCAGCGGTGGCGGTGCACACCTGTAGTCCCAGGAGTGGCCTGGTGCCATCTGAGCATGCGCCCGGACTGCGAGGCAGTGGGGTTTGCCATCCCGATGTGCAGGTCTCCCGTGTTCTCACTGCAGAAGCTGAGCTCTGCCCTGACAGGGGGAGTGTCATGCCAGGACAGGGCTCCGCGTCCCCACACCACCTTGGAATGCCCAAGGCTGCCAGCACACCCAGCACCCAGAGCTCGCCTCCCCCGCTGCCCTCGGTCCAGGCAGCAGGGACTCACTGGCCACAGAGGGATGTGTGTGGTTGAGAAATATTTAGCATCCAGAACACCGCACTAGGGATCGGTAAGCCCAGCAAGCCTGATGGGTGTCGCAGGTGGGCGTCTGGTGAGGTACGCAGGTGAACACAGGAGGAGGTGATGGTCACAGGTGGGGGGCTGTGGACAGGAGGGGAGCGGACTGGGGTCTGCTTCCATCTCTAGTGCAGGCTTCTCCCCCTTCCTGCTCCTCCTCCTTACACAGCCGCCCTGAGCTCCTCCGCCTGCACCTGGCTCTAGCCCAGCTTGCACGGCGCCCTGCCCATGCACCTGCCTGCCGAGCTGCTCCCGCTTGTGCTGTGCTGCCACCACCCCTGCAGCCTGGGCTGCGAGATGAAGGCCTGGGGGCCGAAGCTCAGGCCCCTCAGTCCGGGCTGCACGGGCCCCCAGCACCCCAGGTCCACACAGCTCTCGTGACTCTGGAAGCGCTAGCCGGTGTTGCGGGTGTGTCTCCCCAGCACAGTATGTACTGCATGGGGCGCATGACCCAGATCAGAGCTGGATGGGGCAGGGGAGAGCCTGGTGACCCAGGGTCTGTGGCCGCCTTCAGTCTAGACAGCAGATACCTGCTGATTTGTGAGCTCAAGTATGGACACACTGGCTCTCAGTGTGGAGTAGTTCTTGGTCAGCCTGTGCCACGATGGCTCTGTGTGCAGGGCTGGTTCATTCAGCTCCTCTGGGCCCCAGAAGTGTGGCCAGACTTGGCAGCCGATCCCTCAGGCTCTCTGAGCAGTGACCTGCAGGATGGTGTTTCTGGGGACACTTAAGGCCAGAGCCCTGGAACTCGGAGCAGGTCCAGGTGGGAGGGTTACCTGAGAGAAGAGCCACCTGTTTCTGGGGGTGCGACGAGTGGAGGGCCTGCTGTGCCAGGGAAGTCAGTGCCAGGCCGTGGTTTCTCCTTCCCCAGGGTAGGCAGGCACCACACAGTGTGAAGAAACCAGTGGATGGAGTCACATGTCATTGGGGAGGAGGGGGGAGGGGTAGCATCCGGTTCCTCCCTGACAAAGAGGAACTTTCCAAAACTAGGATTTAGGGAAGAGCAGCTGTGTGGTTTGGAAGAAAAGAGGTCTGCTTCATCTCTCTAAGCTAGTCATCCATGAATCTATCCATCCACCCACCCACCCATCCATCTTTCCACACATGCATCCATGCATCCACCCTTCTTTCCAGCCAGCCATCTTTCCATTCATCCACCCACCCACCCATCTTTGTACCAATTAACCACCCATCCATCCACCCACCCATCCATCTTTCCATTCATCCATCCACCCACCTATCCACCCACCCATCCATCCACCCACCTACCCATCCACCCATCCATCTTTCCATCTATCTATCCATCCACCCACCCACCCATCCATCTTTCCATCCATCTACCCATCTACCCATCCATCCATCCATCCATCCATCCATCCATCTGTCCACCCACCCATTCATCTTTCCATCCATCCATCCATCCACCCACCCACTCATCCATCCATCCATCCATCCATCCACCCACCCACCCACTCATCCATCCATCCATCCATCCATCCATCCATCCATCAATCCATCCATCCATCCATTCATCTATCCCATCTATCCATCCACTGAGCCACCCATC